AGAGAGAGAGAGAGAGAGAGAGAGAGAGAGAGAGAGAGAGAGATCACCAAAGCTATTCATACATTTATCAGTTTGGGGAAGAAAAAAACATAAATTATTTAAAATCAGGTACATGGGCTGGTGAGGTGGCTCAGTGGGTAAACCGGACTTCCTGAGTTTGATCCTAGTATCACTCACTGTAGGAAGAGAAAGCCATCTCTCACAAGTTCTTCTCTGACCTACCCTCACACCATGGTGCACATGTGTGCAAAAGTGTGCACATGAGCTTGTGCGTGCACGCACACATACACACATACATGCACGCACAAAATAAAAGTAATGAAAATATTTTTAAAAGCAGATACATGATGAAATGGAAAACCGTGATGGAACCGTATACTTGAGGTATCTCTGTGTTGTGCCTACTATGCCCTAATAAGAAAAAATATTAAAGTCGAGTCCACTATTTTAAAAGACAGTCATTGTTCACTTGAAATGTCACCACAGCTGCAGGATTTTTTTTCAAAGACAATGAAATACAAATAAAGATATTTTCCCTGGGGATGCTTACTTTGTCTCTGTGACTATGAGGATTGGCTTTTCAGACTCAGTGGTTTATAAGCCATTCCGTTGTTTATGTCTGGGCTTGATCTCATCAGTCAGGTGGGTAAGGACAGTTCATGACAACCCATCATCCCTCCGAGTCCATGAGCCTGTGTTCTTGCATCCCAAAGCATCAGAAAATCCATTAGTGCCAAGGTCCCCTAAATAAAATAGTACAAGCCGACATATGACTTGCACACATTCTCCTGTATACTTTCTAATTGCATTGATTTTTATGAATGTGTATGAATGTGTGCACATGCACCACTATAGCTGAACTTTCTTTGGACCGCCACCTCCCAATAATGACACAGAAACTTATTAATTATGAAAACTTGGCCTTAGCTTAGGCTTGTTCCTAACTAGCTCCTAAAACTTAAATTAACCCATTTATATTAATCTACATTCTGCCATGTGGCTTGATACCTCTCCTCAGTTCCGTATCTGAATTCCTCCACACCTTATTAGTGAATTCTCCCTCCCCCACACCTCTCAGATTCTTCCCAGAGTTCCTATCTCTGCCCAAAGTTCTACCTATCCTCTCCTGCCTAGCTATTGGCCATTCAACTTTTTACTAAAACGATCAGAAATTGCCTTAGGTAGGTGAGGAAGTACAGACACATCTTCACACAGTGTGATCAAATATCCCGCAACACCACGGATAAATCGGTTCTTTATTTCTACCATGTACAGGCTTGGGATCGAACTTAGGTCCTTAGGTTTGTCCCCCACTGAGCCATCTAGCCAGCCCTCCCCCTTATATAGCAACTCTAGATTACTCATGCTACCCACTACACTCTGAACAGTCACTTACTGCGCTGTTCAGGGAATAATGACAAGAAAAACATCTATCTATGTTTAATATGGATAGAATTTTGAAAACTATTTTTAATCCATAACTGGTTGATTCTGTGGTTATGAAAAGCACGTACAGAGAGCCCACTATATTATGCCCCTATTGTCCTTGGGTGACTTGCGACAAGCCTGTGACATCTTTGTGAGGAGGAAAAGATGGTGGCTTTTTCACCTTTTTCTTTTTGAGCGGGAAGCTAAAGTTGCAAAAACTTAGACTTAGGTCTTTGTTCTTCACATTATCGACTCTGTGAACAGCAGGCCAGACACACCCCTGGGGAAGCAGGCTTCATCCCTTACTTAGAGAAATCTACCAATACTTTTAAATATCAATAAGACATCACAGAACTGTTGTTTATTTTTAAGGACCTATGCATCCTAGATACAATTAGATGAAGACAAATAAGTTTACATTGTAGGTACTTCAGTTACCTCTCTGGACTCAATGTCTTCATGATTTTAGCCGAGGACCGCTATAAATGAGCTTTCTGTGGACCACCAGCTCCCGAACTTGGAGACTTCCTACTAAGTATGAAAACTTGGCCTTAGGTTAGGCTTGTTCCCAACTAGCTCTTAAAACTTACACTGACTCATTTATATTAATCTATATTCTGCCATGTGGCTTGTTACCTGTCCTCAGTACTGTACATCTGACTTCCTCTGCATCTCTCTGACAAATCCCACCTCTCAGATTCTTCTCCCATGTCCCACCTATCCTCCCTTGCCTACCTATTGGCCATCCAGCTCTTTATTAAACCAATCAGGTGATGTCTTAAGTGAAGGAAGTGCAGACACATCTTCACACAGTATGATAAAGTATCCTGCAGCAGTCTGTTCCAGGGTTTCTCACAGGAGATGTTGTTTCAGGTTAGATAACTCTTTGTATTGGACTCGGTGCCCCAGGCCCTACCAGTAACAACAACCTCATTACCACAACAGCCAAAATACCCCACAAAGTGATGCATACACTGAGTATGTTGATTGTGACTATGGTTTCACAGTTATATATACATGTAAAAAAATACCAATTCATAGCCAGACATACTAGCACACATCTTTAACCCCAGCACTTGGGAGGCAGAGGCAGATGGATCTCTGAGTTGGAGGCTAGTCTATTCTACATAGTGAGCGCTAGGACAGTTAGAGCTACATAGTGAGACTCTGTCTTGGAAAAAACAAACAAAAATAGCAATTCATACATTGATTAAGCTCAGTTGAGGATGTGGGTCAAGGTGAATGACCAGCACAGGCTTTGGCTGTAAGCAGCTGAACCATTCTGTATTCTCTAGTATCTCTAAGTCATGATATCTCAGTCCTACAGAACGAATTGCTTGAAGTGACATACTTTTTAATTTATTTTTTAACATGGTTTTATATGTATTGCCATTTTCCTACATATATGTCTGTGTACTACTAGCATGCTTGATGCCCTCTGAGGCCAGAAGAGGAGAAAGTCAGATCCCTTGTAACTTGTGTTAAAGATGGTTGTGAGCCACCATGTTGGTGATGGCAATTGAATCTGGGTCCTCTGCAAGAGCAGCTAATGTTTTTAACCACTGAGCCATCTCTCCAGCCCCTGACAAGCTGTTTTAATTTACCTCCACTCTGAAGCAACAGACTCGGTTGCCCTTAGCAACCAAATGCATTGTGTTCCTTTTTATTTTGAAATTGCTCAAAGCTATTTTTAGATATCATGTATTTGTTCTATGGATCATTTCATTTTGTAGATAGAAAAAGGCCTGGACATTTAAGGTTTGAGGGATATGTAACTAACAGGGCCTGTCCAGTCTCTGGTTACATGGTCTTCCAGAATCAAAGACAATAAGTAAAAGAACCATGAGCATCCAGCCCCTGATGAGATGCTCTGGATAAGTTCCATTACTGGTGGGATAGAGAAGGAAGAGTTTTTATAACATTTGTACCCTAAGACCATGAACCTGAGGTGGCAATGGAAAGCAAAATTGGTACCAGCTATAAACTAAGCATGGTTTTGTTTATTTGACATACAATATATCCAATTATAATTTTAGCTGACCCTTTTTTTTTTTCGAGACAGAGTCTCACTATGTAGACCAGGCCGGCCTTTAACTCCCAGAGATCTGCCTGCCTCTGCCTCCTGAGTGCTGGGATTAAAGGTGTGCAGGGGTTAGTTTACTCTATTACCTTTCACACTCATACAAAAAAAGAAAGAAAGGGGGTAGGTGCTGTGGGAACTCCTTCAGCCAATAGCCTTTAAGATACTGACCCACTTTGGGCATGGCCACATAACTATAATGTTGTAAATTACAATAAAATAGTCCCATAGAGAGGGAGAGAGAGGAGGGAGGGAGGGAGGGAGGGAGGGAGGGAGGGAGGGAGGGAGGGAGGGAGGGAGGGAAGGAAGGAAAAAAGGAAGGAAAGAAAGGCTCATGTCATATGAAGAAATGAATACCCTAAGATCGTGTTAACCCACAAGTAAATGGTAAGAGCAGGACCTGAGCCCGGGTGACGGCTCCGAAGCTCTGCTCTGCTCTCTCTTGGAGTCACACTGCTCTGGGGAAGGGTTTCTGGCCTCTTTGCCCATGAAAAGCTTTGCTTCCCCTTCTGCTCCCCTATAGGACATGCTGTCACTGATGATGCTCTAGGCTGACAGCTGTGTTTCCAAAGCTGAGAGTAAAGTGTCAACATCATCCCGTCCTTGTGAATTACCTGGCTGAACACAGTAGCCTGTAACCCAGCAGTGGAGAGAAAGAGTCAGGGGAATCCATGAGGTTCTGTGGCCAGCTGGTATAGCTGCATTGATTCAGGCTTAGTAAAGGGAAGAACAATTGAGGAAAGACGCCACATGCCAGCCTTTGGCCTCTACATCCATGTGTATGCACGCACACACATACACACATGTGCACACACAAACACTCACATGTGTACACAACCACATAACAAGTACATATGCCATACAACGCGATGCACAAAAACATTTTTCCAAAGGGAACAACGTTCACCTTGTCTACCTTGAGCTGCACGGCTGTGCATGCACATATACTGTGTGTATGCATTTGTCCCTGTCTGTCTCGTTCCCAAGGAAACGTAAGACTATCTATTTGATACCGTTCAGGACTTGAGCTTAGTAATCAAGTCGCCGTTCCCTAGGAAGCTTCTTATAATTTGTGGAAGCCCAGGTGAACAACACAAGAAGCTCAGAATCAACCAAAAGCAAAGCAAGCTAATGCAACAGCGTAAATGCAGCATCCAGCTTCTTACGTGGACGTGCTAGCCAAAGAATGAGGGGAAATAATGAAAGGAGCACCGGCGTTTCATCTTACTTCTGACTGCGGGAGGAGCCTGCCCTAATAGAGTGTGTAGCTTTGATGGGCCAGAGCTAGAAAGCCATAAGCGGGAGACAGAAGAAATAGGCCACACTGCGCCCACTGACAGCAGCCTCCTCCCAAGCAGGCGTTGTGATTCTTTCTACTTGCTGACAGCAGAGGGAGGAGGTCAGAGTTCATATGGACTCTCCTGGCTTTGAACTCTTATTTCTCCTTGGCTGACATTTGTAAATTATTCCCTGTCACATAAATTCTGAACTCATCCCAGGGGACGTACAGCTGAATGCATTTCCCCTCATAAATTGCAAAATGTGGACCGAGGAAGTGTTTGGCTGTGCTGGCAGGCCATCGCGCGTGATTAGGGATATTCAGCCATGCTTGCTTAGGGAAACAACAACCATTCATAAGGCGAAAGTGGTGGCACACACCTGGTAAGCTCAGCACTGACGAAGCTAAAACAAGGGAATCAGCAGTTCCAGGTACTTTGTTCTACTTAGTGAATTTTAGGCCAGTTTGCATTTCAAAGTGAATATCTGTTTAAAACTCCAAAGGGAGGGGCTAGCAAGATGGCTATGTTAGTAAAGGTGTTTGCCACACAAGCCTGTTACCTGAGTTCAACCACTGGAACCCACATAAAGATGGAAGAAGAGAACCAACCCCACAAAATTGTCATCTGACCCCATATATATGCTATGGTACATGCATACACATATACACATCATTTGTGTGCACACAAACGCGCACAATAATAATGATAATAATAATAACAAATTTAAGGTTTTTTAACCCCGAAGAGAATAAATAGCCCAGTGACCATTTATAAGCAATTTACTTTGAGATGGAGATTGACAGTTCTTTTCTCCAGATCATAAATATTTTAAAAATGATTTCACATGAAGGCTGGGTAGATGGTTCAGGAGCTAAGAACTCTGGCTGTTCTTCTAGAGGACCCTGGTTCAATTCCCAGCAACCACATGACAACTCGCAACTCCTTAAGTCCAGTTTCAGAGGATCTGAACTGCACCCTCTTCTGGTCTCTGAGGGCACTGCACACATATGGTGCACAAACATACATTCAAATAAAACACTCATACACATATAACTGAAATAAATAGATCCTTTTAAAAAATTATTTCTTTTTTTTGTTTTTTTTTTTGTGGTTTTTTTTTTTTTTTTGGTTTTTCAAGACAGGGTTTTTCTGTGGCTTTGGATCCTGTCCTGGAACTAGCTCTTGTATACCAGGCTGGCCTTGAACTAGCTCTTGTAGACCACAAGTCTCTGCTGGGATTAAAGGCGTGCGCCACCACCGCCCGGCAAAAAATTATTTCAAATGTTCCCAGTTATAGATACTTATCCAGTATCCAAAGTTCACGATGAAGAAGTACTTTAATTGGTCCAGGCGGGGCTTGGGGTCTCATTAGAACATTATTATAATGTGATTTCATTAGAAAGTGTGATAATTTTCCAAGGAAGGAAAAGCAGGGAGAGGAAGACGATCTACCACACCCCACGATTGGCAGGGAAGGCCTGTGTGGAGTGGCCCATCAGCATGTCAGTGTGTCTACCCCAGGGCCACTGACCATTGTGATACCCAAGAGCAGAGGGTATTTGTTTTCCCAAGAGATAAAATTAGCCCAGGACTAATAGAGCTAGAATTTGAAGGCGGAATTGTCTTTGCTAATGTTCTTTCTCTGTGTCTTCTTTCTGAATGAACTGCAGTGAAGGTAGCAATCTCACCCCGGCACACCACTACCCAGACTTCAGGTTTAAGACCTATGCTCCGCTGGCCTTCCGGTACTTCCGAGAACTCTTCGGTATCAAGCCTGATGATTACTTGGTAAGAGCCTGTCATTTTCCTTTCTACAGAATGCATGGTGCTCTCTTGAACAGCAGCAGTGGCAAGTGACTGTCTCTTAGAAACCTCGGGAACATCGTAGACGTTCCAAGTTTTTTAATGTTTACATATTTGGCTTCAAAAAATGCAATTTGATGCCATGGTTCTTAACAGATAGCTATAAAAATCTGCTGTGTGGTTAATATTTAAATAACTGAGGTATTACTATTTTGGGTAATTACCCTAACAGATACCTTATGATTAATCTAATGTTGATGGGCCACAACCTTGACCTGAAATTTTCCTAGTTTTGTTCTCTACATCTCCTCCCATAGTCCTCTCACGTTCTCTCCCCCTCTCTCTGCCCTTCTCCTCTAGTTTTTCAAGACAGGGTTTGTCTGTATATCCCTGGCTATCCTGAAACTTGCTCTGTAGATCAGGCTGGCCTCGAACTCACAGAGATCCACCTGCCTCTGCCTCCCAGGTGCAGGGATGAAAGGTGTGCGCCACCACCGCCCAGCTTTGCAGTCTCTTTTTAAGCATATTTTCACATGTACATAGGCATTCTCTGGCCTCTGCTCTGTCTCTTCTCTCTGCCCTCTCTTGGGCACAGCAGCAGCAACAGACACAATGCCACCCTCAGGTTTATCTCCTTCCCATTCAGAGGGCTGCAGCCCAGTTTTTGTTGAGAGGGGTTGGCGTACCTCATAATTTCATTGCTGTTAACACCTAGGGGCTTTTCAAAAGCTGTTTTTAAAGGAGCCATAGGAAGGATGCCAGCTAAGATTCACTGTTGTCCCGTTCTGGATGCTCTCAGTAAGACTCTGGTGAGATCCTGGAGCGGTGCTTTTCAGGGGTGGTACGGCAGGCATTGTTTGTCACTGGTGATAGAATGTTCTGAATGTATTTTACAAAATGGATAAGACATAAAGAATGAAATTCAAAACTTGCATCTGTTCCATGCTAATGAAAACCCATGTCTTTAGTTGGTACTTAAGAAAATAATGATTTTAACTATTTATTTGTATATGTATATGATGTTTGCAAGCGTGTGTTTCTGTGTGACGCCATGTACATGCTACATTGTGTGTGTATGATGTTTGCAAGCATGTATTTCTATGTGAGGCCATGCACATGCCACAGTGTATGTGTAGCGGTCAGACAGAGAACAACCTTGAATGGAGAAGGGTCTTCTGTCTGTCCCTGTGCTATGTTCTAGTTGCTGTACACTAGTTAGCCAGTGAGCCACTCGGGTGTTCTCCTGTCTCCTTGAAGGAGTCTGGGGTTACAGACAGACACCCCTGCCTCTGGCTTTTAAATGGGTTCCAGGGAGCCAGACTCAAAGCAATAGGGTTATTGTCAGCTTTTTTACAGCTCAGAGAGTATTGATTTCTTTCCAGTGACATAAGATGCAGGGCCAAGTCTCTGCAGAGCAGTGGTGGTTCTTAACAAGGTGCTGGGCATCCTGGCCTCTGCAAGTCCCAGCGGCTCTTTTTGCCTCTCTGTCCCTCTAAAACACTAGCACCTGTCCCTGTCACTCTTAATTCAAGCATGTATGCCTGTTCTGGAGGCGTGTTAGGGAGAATCCTTGGGTTTCTGATCATTTGTTAATAACTGAAGGTCACCATCTCTCAGAAAATATGTTTAGGGAACCCAGTGGGGTTTCATAATGAAAAGGGCAGGGTCACTCTTGTCCCTTGGGCTGTACACAAGAAACTAGTGGTTTTTCCTTCTGGACATCTCTAAACTTCTGACCAACCAAAGAGACACCACAGCAATTCACAGCATTGTTAACACAGGCATCTGTCACAGCCCTGGGCATGACGTCACAAGACGGGTGCTCCTCTCAGCCCTGCCCTGCCCATTGCCCCACAGCCCGGGAAAGCTCACTCTGCTCATTTCCAATCATGCACAGTTGCTCTCTTTGGGAAAGTTCTTCTCTGAACAACTTCCCATATAAATTACCCACATTTCTTGAATGGGTCTTTAAACCAGAAAGTATTCTTCTTAGAGTAGGAGAACTTACAAAAGAGCCTGGAAGACTATGCCAATAGTTTCAAAAGTCTTCGTCTATCTACCTCGTCTCCAGATGTTCAGGAGACTCTTTCCACTAGTCCTAGCATCCTCACCCACCAAGCCGTCTCCAGGTAGTTTCTCTCCACCCGTCACACGGCAGTGGTCCATCCTGAAGAACACACCCTAAAGAAGTCCAATCCCTCTCGCGAGGCACATTTTGGAACCATTAAGCTCAAATAAAGCCCAGAAGACAAATGGGCACGTCTTAGAAAGGTCTCTGTAAAGAAACAAAGGATGTGACACAAATACCAAGTCCTGGCATCTGTCAGGTAGGACTATTGAAACCCACACTGTGGAGATGCATGGCTCTAAGCAGGGGAAGACAGAGAGACCGTTAATGAGTGATTGCCAGCTCCATAGATTTGAAATCGCATCCCTGTTGGTTTCGTGCTGCCGTGTCTGGATTTCTGCCAGAATTACTGTGCCTGCATTCTCAGTTTCATTAAAATTCACCATGTGCTCGCTGATTACAAGTTTCAGGTCTATGCATGTATAATTTGGCTAGGGAGGCAGCAGGATGAAGCGCTTCCAAGTGCACAGCACTGTGAACTCGTCCTCATTTGTTCCAAGACGAGCATCTCCCACCCAAGAGGCCCTGGGCGTGTCCGTCTCTGCTGCGGGGACAAGCTGCTTGCTCTTTCCTGCCCCTCCGGGTTTTCACAAATCCAATGTAACTCATAGGAGTCACTCATAGGAAGTTTTTAGGCTACCAGTAAGAGCGAAAGCGGATTGAGTGTTGTACACCATCAGGGGAGTAGGAGGCAAGTTCATCTGTGCCGTGTGGTACAGCTTTACTTTGTTAGCTTGCCTTGGCAGAGCCCCGTTGGAATATGCCTTCTTTCGGGCAGGTATAGCAGGGAGGCCTTGCAGGAAACCGAGACGAGAAGATGTTCACATTTGAGCGGCTTTCCCAAAGGAAGCATGCATATGAGGCAGATAGAGCCCAGGAGTGCGCATGGAGATCTGTTGATCACAGCTGGTTCAGTTCTCTGTGTCCTTTAGAATCAGCTTTCAGAAGCTGCTGAGAAACATGGTAATGAATCTCTAGAGTTCTGGAGTGGAAATCATATTCCCATCGAGTGTCATAGACTCGGTCACGTACATGTTGATAGTGTGTGATCCGTAATGTTAATTCAAAACGTTACCAAAATAGGACAATTGCCTATCAATAGTCTTTTATAAATTGCCTACTGAAAGAGTATCTGACAAAGAACTGATCAAGTTAGGTCAGTGTTTATAGAGAATTTTGATACTTTACTGGGAGAGAGGTTTAGGTCTGAATCTGGGTTTTTCCAGACAGATTTTTCTCTCTTTTGTTTTAAACAATGGTTTTACTGTGAATTTCACACATTGTATTGTGAATATAGTCACTTCCTCCCCATCTCCTCCCATAAGTACCTTTCTGCCCTCCCTCCCCTTCCTACTCGCATACCCCATAAGTACCTTTCTGCCCTCCCCTTCCTACTCGCATACCCCGTTTAGTTTCTACTGCCCAACTCCTCTTTGGAGTGGCGTCTACCCTGCTGTGTGGTCGACCTACCAAGATGATCATTGAAGAGAGCTGAATCTCCCTCTCCTAGCAACCATCAAATGCCAATGATTTGCATTGCATTTGATGCCTAGCTAGCAGTGGGATTTCTTGTCCATTTCCCTGCTCTGTGCTAAGATTTTGTTTACCTTGAGCTTGTGTGGGTCTCATGTGTACTTCTAGACAGATTTTCTAATATTGCCCCATGATTGCTCTATTTCCTCTTTCTGTTCTTTTCTTTTATACTCTTGTAATTTTCACTCCTCCTCATGGGGGGATCTCACGTGCATTCGTGCAAAACACTCATACAAATAAAATAAAAGTAAAACAAAAATCTCAAAAAGAACCTGGTTATCCTCATGCAAGAAAGTAGAGCCAGACCCTTATCTCAGGCTGTTGCTCAGGACGGGGCTCGATGGTAGAACACTGCATGAAGACTCGGTTTCCACCCCCAACACTACAGAAATCCAGCGAAAAGGCCTGGAGGCTAGAGTTCATGTCACATTTGAGAAGATGAGAATAGAGCTTTGGGGAAGACCTGACGAGTGGGACTCCTGGGAAGTAGCGCTGGGCCACTTGTGGTCCATGAACACGGGAAAAGGTGATGCAGTGAAGGTCAGGATCAGATTTACCCTTAGAAAGATCCCTGGTTTCCAGAGGAGAGGGCACTAGATGGGGTGAGAGTTGCAGCTGAGCCCAGGAGCATGCCCTAGAGGCCAGACAGAGATTGATAAAAATCACTGAACCTGGGTTACTGGCAGGAGATATCTTGTGAAGGAGGCAGGCAGGATCACGCATCTGGATACAGATGAGGAAATAGGAAGTGTCAAACCAAGGTTCTGGCCGGGGGAACAAGACCATAGTGTTTCACCCCGAAGATAAGGCAAAAGGTAGAGGCCCCATAGTGTAGAGATGTGACATTCTGCTCTATGGGGTTATACTGCTAAAGGGCCCCTCCCTGGCTGGAAGGAGGGACAGAGGCTGGAATCCAGCCCATCTTCTACTCACCACCCCCGTATTCTGGCCAAGAGCTAGATCTGCTGTGGTTAGCATTTTTTTTAAAAAATCCTTCTCGTTACAACAACAAAATAAAAACCATATGATTTTTGTTTGTTTGTTTTTTGAGACATAGCCTTTCTCTGTAGTGGAGCTCACTGGCCTGGGACTCACTACGTAGACCAGGCTTGCCTTGAATTCCCAGAGACCCCAGAGTGCCACCACGCCCGGCAAAGCCACGTAATTTAAATCATAACAGCTTGTCATATGTGAAGTACTGAGTTATAACCAAGTAGAGATATCAATTATAATGAGACACACCTGTCGCCCGGGAGTCCTGAGGTGGGGATGTCACATCATCCTCTGTGAGGTCAGTGACAGTGGAGAGTGTCCCCTGGGGGAGCAGAGGAAAGAGAAGAGAGAGGTTCTGTCTTGAAGGGATGCATATGCAGGGGCGCTCGCCTTTCGGCTGGGGCTTTCTGGGCATGCTGCGGACAGAGCATCTTCTGTGCGGTCCTGTTTAAAGATCTCACAAGAGCTGGGCGGTGGTGGCATTTAAAGGTGGTGGCCTTTAATCCCAGCACTTGGGAGGCAGAGGCAGGCGGATCTCTGTAAGTTCGAGACCAGCCTGGTCTACAAGAGCTAGTTCCAGGACAGGTTCCAAAACCACAGAGAAACCCTGTCTCGAAAAACAAAAAAAAAAAAAAAAAAAGATCTCACAAGACAGAACCCCTGGTTCTGTCACGTGGCACTCGGGGTGGGGAGAGAGGAGAGCATACCTCTTCCCCATGATGGAATTGTAAAAATAAATGGGGGCACACACCTTTAATCCCAGCACTCGGGAGGCAGAGGAAGGGGATATCTGAGTTCAAGGCCAACCTGGTCTCCAAAGTATCAGGACAGCCTGGAACTACACAGGGTTACACAAAGAAACCCTGCCTCAACCCCTGCCCCTCCCAAAGAAGAGTACTTTAGCTAAACTAAGACGATGACTCAGTCAGTAAGGTATTCGCCTTAAAATCATGAGGACCTGGGTTCAATCCCCAAAACCCACTTTAAAATGACAAGCATGATAAAATACTCTTGTAATCCCACTGGGGAAGAAAAGACAGGGTCGCTGGGGCTTACTGGCCAGTTTGTCTCACCTAATTACTTAATTTATTTTATTAATTTGTTAATTATTTTATTTAATGAGCTTCAAACCAATGAGAGACTTGTCTCAAAAAAAGCTGGGAAGCATTCTTGAGGATGGTACCCAAGGTTGTTTTTGGACTGACACACATACATAAGAACACATGCACACACCATACACACACACACACACACACACACGCATGCATACACTTAAAACAAGGGGACTGTCACCACGCATGGTGGCATAGGCCTATAATCACAGCACTGGTGAAGTGGAGGCAGGAAGAGCATCCATTTGGGATCATCTTGACCTACACAGAGAGACCCTGTCTCAAACAAAAAGCAGACTTTAATTTTGTGTGTGTGTGTGTGTGTGTGGTGTATCCATGTCTACATGTTTTTGTATACACATTTATATGTGCAGCCACATATATGGAGGATCAATGTCAAATGTTTCCCTCTGCTGTTCGTCTCTGTCTATTTTAAGACAAGGCTTCTCACCAAACTGGAGTTCACTGATACTGCCTGATTCTGTAAGACTAGTTGGCTTTGGCACTCCAGGGGTCCGTGTTCCTGTCTCAGCCACCCCAGTACCAGGTGCAAAACCATCTCACCCAGCCTTATCCATGACTGCTGATCTTCCAAATACAGATCCCCATGCTTTCAAATACTTTGCCTGCTTACTTTCTCCCCGGCCCCAAAAGTTGGCTTTAAATGTTTGCCTCGGAGTGGACATGATGGCTCATCGGAGAACATCTACCAAGCCTGACAAGGGCCTGGGTTTAGTCCAGCACTGTGAATACATAAATAAGGATTTCTATAAATATGCACATACATACCCAAACTGATTTTGTGTGTGTGTGTTTACTCTTTTTTTTTTTAACTTTTTCAGTACTCCATCTGTAGTGAGCCTCTGATAGAACTGTCCAACCCTGGAGCCAGTGGATCCTTGTTTTTTGTGACCAGCGATGATGAATTTATCATCAAAACCGTTCAGCACAAGGAAGCAGAGTTCTTGCAGAAGTTGCTGCCGGGATATTACATGGTAAGGGGCTGCTCACAGCTACAGTTTCTACCTTGGGATTTATTCCTTTCTTTGGAGGGCTTTGTTCCTGCAGGTTTTCTTCCCTTTGCATTTAGACTATGTTGTAGCATTCCTTGGATAGATTTTAGAAGTAATAACCAGAGGCCAGCAAGATAGCTCAGTGGGTTAAAAGCATTTATCACACAAACCTGGTAAACTGTGTTCAGTCACCAGGACTCTTGTGGTAGAAGGAGAAAACCAACTTTGCAAAATCGTCCTCTGGTCATGGCATGTGTGTGCCCACAAATCATATATATGCCAATAATAATGATAATTTTTGATTCTAAGAAGTGATAGCCAAACATGGTGGTGTACACCTGTTATCCCTGCATTTGGAAGGTCTAGATAGAAGGATCATGATTTCAAGGCCACCCTGGAATCCACTGAGAGACCCTGTATCAAAAGAGAAAATGGTGTAAGTGAGAGCTGAGTCCTGAGCATAGCTGCTGGATCACGGTCCTGGGTTTAAGTGCAGCTCAGTCATTCACCTCACTGTGGCCCTGCTAAGCGAAGCTGCTGCTGAACCTTTGCTCCCTTGTCCTTTAGAAGCTGGAAACAGTGTCTTTGTGGTGATCAAGGAAGGGATAGGAGTAATGCTTTTTGTACCCAGCAGCAGTCATTGTGTCCATGGTGACATGCATTAACTGTCTGTGCTGGTTAAGCAAGGCTTTGAGTACCCTTCCCATTAATTCAGCTTTTACAGCTGTGAGTTTAGAATGGTTATGTTGCTATTCCAAGAGCAGATTTAGAAAGAAATTAGAGACAACAAGAGAGAGACACTTGTGCATCCATCCCTTCCAGCCGTTCATCAACAGAGGAACAGGTAAAGAAAATGTGGTGTACCTATACAGTGGACATTAACAGCACATCCTATGTCGAGTCATAGTAGCTCTCAAACTCACTTTTAATGAAAAAAAAAAAATACTTTGTGAAAATGGAACAGAGCAAATTTTTCTTTTTCTTTTTTTTTTCATTCTAGAATTTAAACCAGAACCCAAGGACTCTTCTGCCAAAATTCTATGGGCTGTACTGCATGCAGTCAGGGGGCATCAACATCCGCATTGTAGTGATGAACAACGTCTTGCCGCGTGCCATGAGGATGCACCTGACCTATGACCTGAAGGGCTCCACCTACAAGCGAAGAGCATCCCGAAAGGAGAGAGAGAAACCCAACCCCACGTTTAAGGACCTGGATTTCCTGCAGGACATGCATGAGGGGCTGTATTTCGACACAGAAACGTACAATGCCCTTATGAAGACACTGCAGAGAGACTGCCGGGTAAGGAAGTGTCTCTGGATTTCCTTTGAAGTAATCTCGATCGTGAGAGCTGCGTGCCCATAGCATAGACATGAGGAAGGCCCACAATGGACGTGGGAAGTCTAGTCTTTCCATGCTGACCCAGGCTCTCCGGATCTCTGAGGAAATGGTGGATGATAAGGGAATGGCCTGGGGTCTGTGAACACGTCTTCGTTGGTTCTTATAATAAGCTCTGTCAGCTTTCTTTGATAAAATGCAATGAGAACTTTTCCTTTTCCTTCCTCCCTTGGGTGGGGAAGGTAGCTGAAAAGGAAATGAAATTTAGATTTAATGCAGAAACCAGCAAGGGAAGCCATATTCAGATCTTGGATGAAATGGGATTTCGACTGAGGAGACACGTTTAGAGAAGATGTACTTAGTGGGATTAACGGAGGGCTCCCTGGAGCCCCGCTGTGAGCTGAGCCTTGACGGACAAACACTGCACATTGGCTGCAACTGCCCTGTCTGAGAGGCAAGGGGAGCGAGGGCGCCAGATCGAGCCCAGTGCTCCGTGGAAGGGTAATTGTCAGAGGTGAGAAGGGGCTGCCCAGCTGTGGTGCACACATCCTATTACATCACTTTATAAATACAGGTGGCCAAAGCCCTGGGGGGAATGGTTTGCATATGGTGAAAGTGAGTAAAAACCCTTCTGGAGAAAAAAATGAAGAGATAATTGTAACTGGAGGCTGAGCTTGCGGTTCCCAGCTGCCCAGTCCCGAGTAATCACACAAATTTAATTAATATTACAGACTGTTTAGCCTATTAGCTCAGGCGATTATTAACTAGCTCTTACAACTTAAATTAACCCATTTTTACTAAACTGTATTTCCATGTGATGTGGCTTGCTGGTAATGCTCTGACATCTTACCCTTTGGTTGCTACATGGCGTCTCCCCAACTCCACTTTCTTTCTCCCTGTATCTGTTTGGATTCCCCCTCCCCCGGCTGTATTCTGCCTGGCTATTGGCCAAATCAGCTTCTTTATTAACCCGTGGTAATAAGACATATTCATATCATACAGAAGGGTCTCCCACATCATATAATCCTGAAAATTTAAGATGATTTAATAAATATACACCCCAGAAATAATCTTGGAATGACTGATCTGGGGGAAATGGATAGACTAGTCAGGCCAGTTAGCCATCTTGAGCATAGCTGGGTTGGGCAGCATGATGGTGCAGGCTGGGGCCTAGGCTTTGCCAAGGCTTCCTAGGTAACCGATGACGCCACTAGTCCATGCTGCCAAAAAATAAGGGCTATGCTATTCAGGCTGTGGCTTTCTTGGCCTCCGCTGGGCCCATACAGATGACATGCATTGTTGTGCGGGAGAGAGGAGCCTTCCCCCCAAGCCTGGCCACACTGCAGGTGAGGAAGGCAGACTGAGCACCCCACTGTGTAGAGCAGAGAGCACCCTCATTCTGCTTTCCTTGCCTCCTGCTGCAGGACGCTTGGTAGCGTGTGACAATAACTCCTTGGGTTCATTTTCTTCCTTAACACAGTTGTATTACTTGTGACGTAGTGATGTTAGACCGGGTGCACACGGTGTGCCGCGTAGCCAGGGTTCACTAGTCACGCCTCCTTCTCCCTCTGAGCACTTGGAATTCAGCACAGCCATGCTGCCATTTTCATTGCCGAAGGAATCCTTAAAAGAAGGTGAGAAAGGCAGGTTTGGTGGTGCATGCTTTTAATCCCACCCTTGGGAAGATGGAAACAGGCAGATCTATGACTCTGAAGGCAGCCCGATCTACACTGAGTTTTCTAGGCCTGTCCACCCTACAGAGTGAGAGTCCTTCTCTTGGGGGGCGGGGGGGGGGGGGAAGAAACTTGTAAACTTGTCCAGGGGTCAGAGAAATAACTCAGCAGTGAAAAGCACCTGGCTGTTCTTCCAAAGGACTCTCAGCCCCAACACAGTGGCTCACAGCCATCTGCAGCTCTAGTTCCAGGGGATCCAACACCCTCTCCTGGCCTCTGTGGGCAACAGGCACATGGGCAGGCAGAATGCTCATACACGTACAGATTTTTTCTAAGTAAAAACAACAACAACAAAAAACACAAACTTGTCCAGTGTTGCTGAACAAGCTGGTGACAAAGCTCACATCCGTCTGGGGGCAAAGTGTGATCTAAACAAAGGGAATTTAAAGTTTGACGCTAGGGGTCTTTTTAAGATTTTTTTAAATTTTGTTTATTTATTGTTTGGTTTGGTTTTTTTTTTTTTTTTTTTTTTTTTTTTTTTTGAGACACAGTTTCTCTGTGTGTACCTCTGGCTGTCCTGGAACTCACTTTGTAGACCAGGCTGGCCTCGAACTCACAGAGATCCGCCTGACTCTGCCTCCCAAGTGCTGGGATTAAAGGAATACACCATTACCACCCAGCTACTTTTTATTGTTTATTCATGCGTGTTTGTGTGCCAGCCATGGGGGATGGAGATGGCTGTGGAGGCTAGAGGAAGGTGATGGATCTCCTGATTCTGGAGTAACAGGCTGATGTGAGCCAGCTTCCATGGGTGCTGAGAAGTGAACTCAGGTCCTTTAGAAGAGGAGAAAGCACTCTTGGCTCCTGAGCCACCTCTCCAACTGCTATGAAGTTTTTACTATTACTATCTTTTAACAAGTCATATGAAAAGCTGTCGGGACCAAGAAAAAAAAAATCCTGTAGAACTCTTCTGCTATCTGAAGGATTTATGCTTTTCTTTTTTATTAAAAAAAAAAAAAGGAAAAAGAAAGAAAACACACACATTTTAATGGAAACCTTTTATCTTGTGTTTTTTTCTGTGGTTTCAGGATGTGGGTGAAAAGTTAACTATCAAATTCCCCAGAGTGTAGTCCAAGCCTCTCCAGTCTTAGATTTGTTTTTTTTTCTCCTCACCCCCTGCCTCTGATTGTGTGTGTGTGTGTGTGTGTGTGTGTGTGTGTGTGTGTGTTTTCTCAGTAATATTGGAAACCTTTTTCTACAGTCTGCTAAGGCCACATGCTTCTGTGCCAAGAGGAGTAAAGGTCAAATATAAATGCCATTGCACAGGATTTGTGGCTAATCCTGAGAGAACAGGTCAAACATGACTTTTCAACAAAAACGAGACCCTAGAGATGTGCCTGCTTATTTTCTACGTTTTTAGCATGTTGTTCTAAAAAATACAGAAGTCCATGTTAAAGAATCGAATTGTATTTGAATTTGTACAAGGCGTAAGTCGTGGAACTTGCTATTCTTGTCGCAAATGCTTTCGTCCCTGTGGTATGGAAACATGCAAATACTGAGCCTGACTCCAGTTTCTGACCTGCCAGGTCATCTGTGATGAGAATCCAGTAGCTGGTCCTGCGGGCAGAGCTGCACTGTGCAGTGCAGGGATTTGGAACCGTGGGTCCTGATGTTTGTCAGGGATTGCTTTGTAGGTCTGATGGGTGATGTCTTAGTTAGGGCTTCTGTTGGTGTGATGAACACCATAGTCAGGAACAACTTAAAGGACTCATTTGGCTTACCTGTCCTATTAAGGAGAGCCATGGCAGGAACCACCTCAAGTCACGAAATGAAGCAGAGGCTATGGAGAAACCCTGCTCACTGGTTTGGTCCCCCTGCTTGACTGTCTTGCTCAGTCTGTTTTCTTATACTACCCAAGACCACCTCGGTGCCCTGGGGTGTCACCATCCATAGTGAACTGGGCCCTCCACATCAATTATTAATCAAGAAAATGCCCAACAGACTTGTTGCAAGCTAGTCTTAAGAAGGCGTCTTCCCAATTAAAATTCCCTCTTCCAAGAAATCTAGGTTTGTATCGCATGACAAGTTAGCATTTTGGTTAGTGTTCACTCTTCAGCTTTAGAGAGATACGGAAGTATATTGATTTTGTTTCCTTTAAAGTTGTTTAGTTTTCATTTTGGGTACAGACTCTTTGTGCCTTCCCCTCTCTGCATCCCCTCTACTCTTCAGAACTGAACTTTAGTGTGACTGATGGAGTATTGGGCTCTAGGGTGGCTGTGGGGTCACTCACGGGCTGGCACTGGTACCTAGCGTCTGGGGATCTCTTCTGTTCAAAACCCTACTGTCTGTGGGAGGCTCCAAAAACAAACCAACCATAGACCATTTTTATGGCAATGCTCCAGTGGGAGGAAGGTGAACCAGGCTCATTGTGGGACATGTCCTCGTTGCTGAACATGGGTGAGTGACCTTCACGTTTGAACTATTGCCAAAAAATACGAGAGATGCGGTGATGATAGTGTATTATAGGGTCAGAGTAGGTGATGACTTAGCTTGATATTGAAGGGTGAGAGGAATTCTGGGTAGGCAAAGCAGTAAAAACGTTAATTTCTAAGAAGAAAAAAGCAATATATATTGGATATGAAAAAGCATGGCACATTCCAGGAACTATGGTTGTTTGTCTTTGCTGCAGCTAATAATTAGGGAAGGCATGTGAGGTAAGAGAGAAGTGCATCCAAATATTTGTCAAAACCCTTTTTCAGAGTTGTGCGGGTCCTCTTGAGGACTCAAATAACAAATCCACCAGACCTCTAGGACTCCTGTGCACTGCTGATGGAAATGTAAAATAGTCCAGACACTATGGAAATCAGTATAGAGTTTCCTCAAAAACTCAAACTAGAATACCATATAATCCAGCTATGCTACCCTTGAATATAGTACCCAAAGAGACCTGTCAACACACCACAGAAACGCTTGCCCATTCTTGTCTATGGCAGCACAACTCATAGTAGCCAAGGTGTGTAATCAGCCTGGGTGTCCATCAGCAGGTGAATGGATAAAGAAAATGTGGTCTGTGTACACAGTGGGGTTTTGTTCAGTCCTAAAGAATGAAATTAGGTCATCTGCAGGGAGACAGATGAAACTGTCTATCATCCTGTTAGGCAGAGTAAGTCTGAGTCAGAAAGACAGGGTTGCCTATTTCTCTTGTGTGTGCAGTCTAGAATAGTACATGCATGCATGGCATGGAATAGAAGTGGGGCTTATTTGAGGAAACAGAAAGGAATCAGCAAGAGG